TCATCACTAGTGAGCATGTCAGCTCACTTTATAGTTTAAAGAACATCATAATTAGTTTCTTTGCAGTTGTGAAATGTTTAAAACTTCGCTTATCTTTTTTATTACACATAAATCATTTGCTCTCCCAAACACAGAAACAAAAAACATTAAGAGCTGTAATGTCTTTTGGAGAATCCAATAAATGAACTTTGTGGCCAGTTTGCATCTTAACTCCTTAAGAGGGGCCTTTGTTTCAAAGAAAAGTCATTAAGGTTTCTCAACAGATCCAACTCCCCTAATTTAGAAACTAAAGCTGCATCAAAACCTGCCTTATGTGAGAATAAGCAACATCTCTACAACATCCTATAACCTTAAGTTTCGAACAAAACTATAAGATTGAAAAACAAGGTCTATTCCTTACGGAAAAAGGTTATTTAGATCCTTTGCAATTTTAGTTTTCACAAATTACATTTAAGGTTACTCCATTAGTCTGAGTAATCTCTATTGTCAGACCACAAGACAAATCCTCACCTCCACCTCATGAATTTTCCTTCACCTCTTGGAGGGGTGATTTTATGGCAGGAAAGAGAGCTAATAAGGATTTCTGGAGAAACTCCTAATTGTTCTGTTTTCCTACAGTCAAGGATGAAAACCTTACACATGTGGAGACTGATCGTTGCTCCATTAGGGTTGTACCATAGAATATGTTTTTATTTCACCTAATTTTAAGATTGGGAGTTTTCTATTGTTTACTTCTAAATTTGTTACTCTCCTTATCATAGACTAGTGTTGTGATGAGGTTTCATATGTTGGTCAATTGGATCTAGTGGGGGTAGAAGTTGCAGAGCTGCTGCTGTAAACGGGGATTGCAACTCTCCCTGCGGCTTCATTTTTCTCTAGTCTAAATAAACATACTTGTTGCTTTTTCTGTTTTGTTCTTATTATTTCTTATGTTTATTTTCTTATTTTATTTGCAACCCTCTCTTCTTTCTGTAGTCGCTTTTAATCATCTCTTTTATTTAAGTTTAGTACCGATTCTCTACAAGGTGTCCCACATGCACCATAGTCACACAAGAGAGTCATCTTTTTCCCATTAACCAATAGGTTAATTTCAGGCTTAATGTTATCTAGTGATAGGATAGGAAATCTGGTAAGTTTCCTTTGTTTGATCAATTTCCATTTCATTCTCTTCATCTAATTTGGGATGCGATGTCTCATTATATGACTCTGGTGCACTTGTTTACTCATATTCTAACATCTTCAGATCGTGCAACGCATTTTTATTATTTATTTTTAGATCATCCTTTTATTTTATTTCATTTATTTACTGAATCACTTATTTATTCAGATACATGTTTATTTATTTGCCAATATTCTATATCTTCATAATTTTCTTTTCCCTCACTTTTTTGGACTTTCTTTAGTTTTCATTTATTTATTTAAAAGTTTTCAATCACACTCTTTCACACCAGCACAAACACAAACAGAAACACAAAACACAAAACGATTAGTCAGATATGTAGTCAGTCAAAATTTTTATCAGTCATCGATTATCAGTCAGTCCTCATCATTTTGCTTTACTCAAATTGTTTAGCAAATTATACTTAATTTTATTAAATTTTACTGAAGCTTCAGGAACTTTCCAATATTTTTGGTTAACATTTTTCATGTTTTAATTTATTTTTTTCTTTAAACTGTATTCTTCAGGATCCTGTTTTAAATAATGTGCACATTTAAAAAGAGATATCTCAAAGGCTCTAACAACAACCAATAGTTTCCTGATGTCCGGTACCACTAGGACCACCAAATAGCGCTTGTTTCCAATTTACACACCACGTTTTTCTATTGTTTTACTTTCAACACGCCATCTATACCGTACTTCTTCTATTTAGTCAAGTACTTGGTTGATTCCTGCTCTGTCTCGGTTTGAATCCCGGCAATCCGCTGCTGGCAGAAGGAGGTGACCTAAGACGCTGGCCCAGCGAGGAAGTTACCCCCGGGACTTTTCAAAACAGGTCCGCAGAACCTGACTACCGGTAGATTTCAGCGCGTCATACTTCTTCCGTCAGCGGCGGGTGTGTAAGGAATCCGGACGAGCCTCCAATTGTTTTCCATTGATCAATTTTTAGCTTCAAATTTTTTATTTATTTAAATTTAGTCCAGGTTCGTTGACTCCTAGGGAGTCCTATGAACTGGAGATCTTTTCAGTAGGCCAGCAATTAAAAATACCTTGTTGTGGTATTCTCCACTTCAACTCTTTCGAGTGGGAGAATCTTGCCTTTGCATCCACAAGAGGTTTGCTGCTTACAACCCTACTGTTTTATATGAGGTAAAATACAGAGCCGTATTTAATCCTCCAATCAGTCTTTCACGCATACACACACATCAACAAAGCAGCACACAAACCAGCAATGACAAATAGTAATGTCAAGACAGCAAAATTCAAACATCCCATCTGCATGAGGATTTACCCTTATGGGGTTTCCTCGAAAAGAGAAAGGTTCTAGCAACACCTGTCCTTTCCTGAGTATATATTTTTAGTTAAAACGCTGTTCAACCAGGATTCTCAAACCTCAGAGTTTTAGTCAAAACGCCATTTGACAAGGATTCTCAAACCTCAGAGTTTTAGTTAAAACGCTGTTTAACAAGGACACTCACACCTCAGAGTTTTAGTCAAAACACCATTTGACAAGGATTCTCAAACCTCAGTTTTAGTTAAAACGCTGTTTAACAAGGACACACACCTCAGAGTTTTAGTCAAAACACCATTTGACAAGGACACTCACACCTCAGAGTTTTAGTCAAAACACCATTTGACAAGGACACTCACACCTCAGAGTTTTAGTCAAAACGCCATTTGACAAGGATCCTCAAACCTCAGAGTTTTAGTTAAAACTCTAAAATAAACATTTAAAATTCACCTACGTTTCTGTAGTTCTCAGGTTGTCCAGTCGGATCTCGTCATTTCGCCGTTGGCAGACAAAGTCGGACATGTGTCGCTGGCCCAGCGAAGAATTTGCTTCCTGGGTCTTTCTTTCCAGGCCTCCAATTGACTCTGGCCGTGCACGGATTCAGCGCGTCTTCCTCTGCCTGACAGCGGGGGGTTGAGAGTTCCGGGTTTCGGCACCAATTAATGTTAGGTATTTTCCTCGAACCTACAATAAAATAACCACAGACAACATATATGAATTAAATATGGTCAGGCTTCTGCAGAAGGAGAAGTCTCCACCAACAACTGTCTTCAAGTTGTTCACAGAGCGTTCTGATCTGCTTTCACGTGAGCTGCCTCTTTATTGTCAAAGAAAAACAGTCACATGGGGCAGTCAAGAAACAAACAGAGGTCGTAAAACACTTAACACAAAAACCCATTCAACTTAGTTCCAGGTGTGATATCTAATTTACAATCTGAGCCCAGTTCAGCTCTAGGTCAAACTGTCACCTAAGACTGAGTAGATAAAGACCAGAAGAATTTAAGGTCTGAGAGCCACAAAGTTTTACTACCTCACATGAAGACAGTCGTAACCTCCAGGTCAGTTTATACACACATAAAGAAGAGAACACTTTAAACTAAAAATCACAATAATACTGATTAACATTAGACTGAATATAAACTAAAGTAATAACAAAATGAACAAAATGATAATACTAAAAAATATCTAAAATGGCCTCCAGAATAAGAACCAAGAGCTGATAGGTATTGAACCTTGAAAGGCATACAAGTTATTGACTGTTGTGGCAGAGTTATTGTTAACGCTGTTGCCATATATCATGGAATAAATGGATTTGTTCACAAATAATTCATCTGACTGGAATAAATTTGGACAACAAAGAAGATCTCTGTGATTGACTTTACATGCAATCAACAGGTATAAAATTAGCCGCTCAGCACGTCTTAACAAAGCCGCAATGGATCAACGTTTAACTATTACTTACAACAGCCAGTTTCATCCTGGCTACCAATGACTGCAATGAAGTCCAACTGAATTGTTGGTGAATCAATGAAAGATCTGGGCCATGTTGTGGTGGCGCAAGGGTTTAGCACGCCCCATGTTCGTCGTCTGCCCTCTTTCCTGTCTGCCTACTGTCTAAAATACGAGCCGCTAGAACTACAAAAAGTATTTTCTTACATAGAGATTTGATCCATTATCTACAGAAATCAGCTGCTCTGTTCTCATGAAAACACCTTCATATCTTTCTCTCTGGATGTTGATGATGATGTTCTGTTGCTTCCTGGCTCCATGTCAGACTAACAGTGGATCACATTTCCACTGGGAAATACCTGGTAAAGCCATTCTGGTCCATCAGGACTTGGTTCCTGTGTGCATTGTGAGAGCAGTTCAGCAGGGAAGGAAAGCTTCATGATGTGGTTGGTGAGATCTGCTGGAACTCAACCAAACTGAGCTGATGTGGACCATCAGAGGTTCTGCTGGTTCTTAATGGGATCAGCAGGAACATTAAATCTTTACAACTACTTAGATCACCTGGTTCTCTGCTCACATCCAGATATCACTTCATGGACGTTTACCTTCTGATTGTCTCTGTGTGGAAAGATACAATGTGAGCTCACTGGATTCCAGGGCTCTACAGAATCCATTTTAAAATCCCACATGGACACACCACCCATATTTCAGACCTCCTCCATGTCCACATCACCTCAGATCTAGTCATCAGAACCTAATGGATGTCCCACACTGTCCTGAAGACCTGTATGGACAGAGCCTTCACTTCCACTGTCCCCAAGCTCAGAGAAACTGTCTCCACCAGCATCAGATCTGCTGAGAGTTTGGACTGTTTGGAGTCCAAATTCAAAATCAACTTTTTAAAACGGCTACTGGATTATTCTGGTGTTACTGGTATTTATCAGTGTAGATCATCTTCCGCTTTCTGAATGAATTATGTTCATGTGATGCTCTGTTTTTCTAAATTAAGGACTTTTAATGTGAAACTCCTTGGGATTTCCTCTGTAAATACTGCTGGATAAATATTTCCTGACTTCCTAATTGTTCCTGGTTCCTCCACAGAGTGGACCAGCAGAGCTCAAAGGTTCTCAGGGGTCCATCTGCCCAGCAGCATCAAATACAGCTGGACTCCATATTTATGGTCTGTATATGAACATCAAATACTTTTCCATGAGTTCTGTTCAAAGTCACCTTCATGCTGCACTTTGTAGACCAGAGGACTGTCAGTTTGTCCAACATCCATCTGGTGTTTGGCTCCATGATTTCACTCTGATGTTTCCATCATCTATTATTCTGTTCCAGCTGCTGGAAGACAACATTGTTACTTTTGTGAAACATGAGCTGAAGAAGATCCGGAAAGTTCTGAGTCCTGATGACACAGAACTTTCAGAGAGTCAGAGAGATGATGAGGTGTTGGAAGGTGATGATGAAGAGCAGAGGAGGAGCAGCAGAGAGGCAGTGATGAAGATCACACTGAACTTCCTGAGGAAGATGAAGCTGGAAAAGCTGGTTGACCATCTGCAGATCAGTAAGAGGATTTCTTCAGAGATTTGAAATGATAGATAAATTACACATTTGTTGAAGTGATGTAATCAAATTCAAAATATGATTTTTTCCATATCTGTTTTTGATATCTTGTTAATTTAGGACTTTTTGCTCCAGTTTGTCAACATAAACTTAAATCTGGTCTGAAGAAGAAGTTCCAGTCTGTGTTTGAGGGAATTGCTAAAGCAGGAAGTCCAACCCTTCTGAACCAGATCTACACAGAGCTGTACATCACAGAGGGAGGGACTGGAGAAGTCAATGATGAACATGAGGTCAGACAGATTGAAACAGCATCCAGGAAACCACACAGACCAGAAACAACAGTCAGACAAGAAGACATCTTTAAAGTCCCACCTGGAAGAGATCAGCCAATCAGAACAGTGATGACAAAGGGAGTGGCTGGCATTGGGAAAACAGTCCTAACACAGAAGTTCACTCTGGACTGGGCTGAAGACAAAGCCCACCAGAACGTCCAGTTCATATTTCCATTCACGTTCAGAGAGCTGAATGTGCTGAAAGAGAAAAAGTTCAGCTTGGTGGAACTTGTTCATCATTTCTTTACTGAAACCAAAGAAATCTGCAGCTTTGAACACTTCCAGGTTCTGTTCATCTTTGATGGCTTGGATGAGAGTCGACTTCCACTGGACTTCCACAACAAGGAGATCCTGACTGATGCTACAGAGTCCACCTCAGTGGATGTTCTGCTGACAAACCTCATCAGGGGGAAACTGCTTCCCTCTGCTCTCCTCTGGATAACAACACGACCTGCAGCAGCCAATCAGATCCCTCCTCAGTGTGTTGGCATGGTGACAGAGGTCAGAGGGTTCAATGACCCTCAGAAGGAGGAGTACTTCAGGAAGAGATTCAGAAATGAGGAGCAGGCCAGCAGGATCATCTCCCACATGAAGACATCACGAAGCCTCCACATCATGTGCCACATCCCAGTCTTCTGCTGGATCACTGCTACAGTTCTGGAGGATGTGTTGGAGACCAAAGAGGGAGGAGAGCTGCCCAGAACCCTGACTGACATGTACATCCACTTCCTGGTGGTTCAGACCAAAGTGAAGAAGGTCAAGTATGATGGAGGAGCTGAAAAAGATCCTCACTGGAGTCCAGAGAGCAGGAAGATGATTGAGTCTCTGGGAAAACTGGCTTTTGATCAGCTGCAGAAAGGAAACCTGATCTTCTATGAATCAGACCTGACAGAGTGTGGCATTGATATCAGAGCAGCCTCAGTGTACTCAGGAGTGTTCACACAGATCTTTAAAGAGGAGAGAGGTCTGTACCAGGACAAGGTGTTCTGCTTTGTCCATCTGAGTGTTCAGGAGTTTCTGGCTGCTCTTCATGTTCATCTGACCTTCATCAACTCTGGTGTCAACCTGATGGAAGAAAATCCACCATCATTTTTTTCTAAATTTTATTACAAATCAAATATAAATTATCTCCATCAGAGAGCTGTTGACCAGGCCTTACAGAGTCCAAATGGACACCTGGACTTGTTCCTCCGCTTCCTCCTGGGACTTTCACTGCAGACCAATCAGAGACTCCTACAAGGTCTGCTGACAAAGACAGGAAGTAGCTCACAGACCAATCAGGAAACAGTTCAGTACATCAAGAAGAAGATCAACAAGAATGTGTCTGCAGAGAAAAGCATCAACCTGTTCCACTGTCTGAATGAACTGAATGATCGTTCTCTAGTGGAGGAGATCCAACAGTCTCTGAGTTCAGGAAGTCTCTCCACAGATAAACTGTCTCCTGCTCAGTGGTCAGCTCTGGGTTTCATCTTAGTGTCATCAGGAAAAGATCTGGATGTGTTTGACTTGAAGAAATACTCTGCTTCAGAGGAGGTTCTTCTGAGGCTGCTGCCAGTGGTTAAAGCCTCCAACAAAGCTCTGTAAGCACACAGATTGTTAATGCATTTATGTTGATAGAAATCTGCTATTGATGAGGTAAATATATATTCATGTTTCAGTTTAGTCATGTTTCTGAGCAGCATACAGCCAACTAGCTCCACAGAGCACATCTGTTAACGTTCGCTCCTTCTCTTTTTGCAACTTGCACTTGTTACTGAATCAGGTTAGTTTCAGTGACTCGGGCGAGTCCCAAGGATGTTGTTTTAAATTTGGGCTAAAGCAACCTATAAAACATTTCCTACTTTACCTCCCCAGAATCAAACATCATAGCTATTTTACTACCATCAAAGAACTTTGAGGCGACTCATTAATTGAATGTCCACAACATCTTTTAGATTTTCTTTATGCTAAATATTTTATTAGTAAAGCTATATCAGTACAGCTTAATTAAGTAGCAGAAAGAATCAAATAAGTAAAATCAATCATCTAGCCTATCTGTCCCCAACGCTGAGACTAAGAACTAAAAAGGGAACCTTTGAGAGAGATGGACGAAGTTTGGTGTTTCGAACCCCAGAACTGGATCGATGATGAAGAAGGTGTTGCAGCAGGAGGAGGTGGATTGACAAAGGCAGGGATCTCTGTTGGTCTGATAAGCTGTCATCTCTGCATTGATGATGAGGTCACACAGGACTTGGGTCTTTGTCTTTGTCTTGATCTTCATCTTTGTCTTCATCTTTGTCTTTGGGGTCTGAACCCAGCCGAAGAGAGAAGTGCGATTTGAAGCCACATGTTGCGGGGCTGATGGGTTGGTCCCCGTGTGCAGGACAGTCTTCGTCCCTGTGGCCCTGGCTCTTCTTCAGCTGCAGAGTTCTTTGTCCATCTGGGTCTTGACTCGAAGCTGCCTGGAGGATCCAACCAAAGATTCCTGTTTTGCTCTCCCCTTATATAGGGTTTATACCCGCATTCAGTGCATTTTCATTGGCTAACACTGTTGCTGTGCTTTATTGGGTAACTTGTTTGGACAGATGAACTCATGTCATCTCTTCATCCATCAGGAGAAAAGGTCTTAAAGGACTTGTCCTGATCTCTTGGCTAACGTCTCAGGGTTGCTCAGTATTCCTCCCATGTCTCTGACATGTTTAAGTTGTTCAATAATCTATGTCCTAATAAGGTCTTGGTCATCTTTGCTTTCCCGTTAGTCCCCATTTTACCCCTAACCTTTCACCTACAATCTACCTCCAACACATCATCAGTGATCTTTAATAGCAGTTACATATTTTACACCATTTCAAGTTCAATGTCAAAATCACATTCATAACCCTTTTAGTTTCTTTGATTTAGCATTCATTTATAATTTTATGATAACCACAACTTATTATTCTTTTATTATTATTTGATACCAAAGTTACAGTTACTTGTTTTACTTGTACGTTTTCCCACAAGTGTAAGTAAGTATTGTCATAAGTACTTTACTTTAAATCTTATCTAATTACTCAAAATGTTTAGATTTCATCCTTTAAAACTTTTATGCTTTTAAATAAGGACTGGTCTCAGCTATTTTTATACAGCTGCAAGCTGGAAACTTACTTCCTCTTTTTCCAGAAAACCTGCTCTTCCTGTCTCATCTCTCTCTCTGACTACGATTTCTTATGATTAGATAGAAAAAATAAGTAGAATTAAAGCTAAGTTTGCAGGAGACAAAAACAACACACCCAACCAGATTTATTTTATTGCAGTCTGGGTCTACTGTTGGATCTAGATGTGATTGGTGTGACTTATTTTAAAGGTAACTTTATTTGTTGTTACTGTTAACTAAAATCTCCAGCATGGGAAGTGGGATGATCTCGGATTTTCTTGACAAGGGCTGAAACGATTCCACGAATGATTCGAGTATTAAAATTCCTCAAGAAAAATGTACCTGCCTCGTATAAAATATATATATTTTTTTCCCTGCACCTGGTTCCCGCCAGAACATTATTTGAGTTGCACGGAGCTCTGACTTTTGCCTCTGAGTTGTTGATGAAAGTTAAGTGTTGGCGGCATAACGTCCAATTTTCAATTTCGACCCTTGGGGATTTTATTGATTAATGATAATGCCTGGGGTTTTATCATTTCTGGGGGGCTAATCGACATCCTTTAAATGACTGGCAGCAGCATTTCTCCTCCAGGAGCTTCTGGTTCAGAGCGAATCGTGGGAAGAGCGATGTGGGACACTAACTAGCGCCATGTCTGTGAAATATTACTATCAGTAATGAATAGTGAAGGTTCAACAGCAAGAGCAGAACCAGCATCTTTCACTGAATTATTTATCAGGTTATTTTATCTTTCTGACCGTGATGCTGATCCAGGTGAGTGTTGGTAGTTGAGCTGCTTTACCTGCTGTCTGGTCGCTCCGGCTGTCATTTTGTTCCTGCATTGAGCCTCAATGTAGCTAAACTCCATCAAACACATGTTTATTAAATGTCATATTAGATTTCTTGTATTGATGCATTTTAACATGCTTCACCTCTGAGGTAATTTTCCGCTGCAACACACAAACTTCCCCATTCACTATCAGAGTGTTATAGTTCCTCATGACAGGATTTGCTGCTGTGCAGTGAGAAGGAAAGAGGAGATGAGCTGCAAACACAAGCTGAGAAGTGAGATTAATGTGATCGGCAACGGGAGAAGGTGATCAGCGATCAGTGATTCCACTTTTTCATGGAAATCAGCCAATTATGATCGATGGCCGATCAATCAACTCACCTCTAATTAATTCAGAAATATGTTAGGGAGGTCTAAGGATGGAAAAATATATTCTCTTAATTGGCAGAAAAACTTTGGGATTAAATGGACTGTACAACTTTGCAAACAGCAGCCCATTAAAACATTAGGATTCTTTCACCTGGTGCTTAATGTACCTAGAAAACCAAACCATCTACTGGTATTTACTGATTATTTATCGGTACATTGTTTCCTAGTCTGCTGCTAGCAGGTGATGAGTAAAAGAGAGACTGACTCTTGTTAGTGACTGAATTAATGCAGTTTATTGTAGATTTTAATATTTCTCTCTCCAGTGTCCTTGTTGCCTTTAGTTCAGTTCTTCAAGTCTTGAGTCCCAACTATAGAATAAACCAATTCAAATAAAAATATCATAAAGTTTTGAAAAATATGACCTATTCTTCAATCAGTCCAAGAAGAATATTATTGACTGTAAAGTAACACAAACATTTGATGGATTAATAACATATTTTCCTCCCTGTCTCCTCAGACTGAGTGGCTGTAACCTCTCAGAGAGAAGCTGTGAAGCTCTGTCCTCAGTTCTCAGCTCCCAGTCCTCCAGTCTCAGAGAACTGGACCTGAGTAACAACAACCTGCAGGATTCAGGAGTGAAGCTTCTCTCTGCTGGACTGAAGAGTCCAAACTGCAACCTGGAAACTCTCAGGTAAAATCTTCTCAATCCTGGTGAAACCAGATTTCTGTCCATTACCTGCTATAAGATATTATGTAAATTTTATTTCAGTATCAGATTATAACATCAATAGATGTCTGACTGTGATGAGGCTAATCATGCTAAGTCTTGACACATAAACTCAGCTGGTTTTCATTTATTCCAGGCTGAAAGAACCAAGAAGAGAATGTAGAAAGATGGAGATCAGGCTTTAACTGTTAGTGTAACGCTGGACACTTGACAGATTGTTGCATCATCAGAATACAAAAGAAGCATTAATGCAGATTCTTCCTCCAACCAGTTGTTAGACTTTCTCATCCATTTTACAAATGACAAATTTTTATTTTTATTACCTACAGAATGAAATAGAATTTTATTACCAAATTATTTTATTAACAGGTGAATCTCCAGTTTCTTGAGTGTTTTCCTCACACAAAAATATCCAGTTCAGTCCTTGGTTTCTACCTCCATGTTCTCATTTTCTCATCATGTGATGAATTGTGTGTCTGCAGCTTATCAGGCTGTTTGGTCTCAGAGGAAGGCTGTGCTTCTCTGGCCTCAGCTCTGACCTCTAACCCCTCCCATCTGAAAGAGTTGGACCTGAGCTACAATCATCCCGGAGACTCAGGAGTGAAGCTGCTGTCGGCTGGACTGAAGGATCCACACTGGAGACTGGAAGCTCTCAGGTATGGAGGAACCTGCTGCAGGAGCAGAGAAGGTCTGATAGAGGAGGAAGAGGGAGAAATGTCTTTAGTCAGTCTGCTGGAAACATTTAGTTTGAAGATTAAATGTTTGTTTCCAATTGAAATATTTAGTCTGAAACTGTGATATTGATAAATGAATGAATAACTTGGTGAAAATATAACGAGATTCTGAAACTGCTGCTGTCTCTTATGACAGTTAAATAAATCAATTATTACTGTGGTTTAATCCCACCGGCAAAAATTGTTGCCAGACATTTTTTCTAACTTCTAGAAGCTTTAAATTAATTGTTTTGACATTTGGCAACTACGAAAAGTTTTAAAATAAAATAATAGTGTGTCCACTCTAAGCAATATCAATTTCATTTTATCCAGTGTGAAAGGTCATATGACCAAATCTTTTTGCGTGACACTAAACATAAATGTCTGTCACAAACCTGTACCAGAGGAAGTCAGTACAATATTTAAATAAACAAATATAAATAAATATTTAAACATATGTTCTTCCAAATGTCTTCTACTGATGTATCAAGAAAATTACATCCCTTCATTCATATGTTGATCATAAGAAGAGTGAATGTAAGCGTGGCAGCAATGGTTGGCTGTAGCATAAACAGCATTATGCTATGCATTCATTGGTTTGCTGTTTAATCTATCTCTTGTTTCCACACAGCTTAAAACCATCAGATATTTTAGATCTTCTAGATCTGAAGGAACCTCAAATGATATCTTCTACATCCCTGTCATTCCCACAGTTGAACTCCTCCCCAAAACCTGATACTTTCCACAAAGTTTGCTCTTTGCACTGAATAACTGCTACAAGATGAAGCCACTGAAACTAGTTTACGGCAAGGCTGAGGTGCAGTGCTTGGTCTGGTGGAACAGGGAAAATGTTCTCCAAGATGAACATTTATTCATTCTAACATTTTTACATGACCTTGACCCCATTTGATGAAACATTTTCATTTACATTACCAAAATAAAATGTATTAATTCTAGGGATGCTCCAATGAAGTTTATTGCTGGTGATTCCGATACCGATCACCCATGAGGTCGATCTCTGCCGATCACCTGAATTGGTTATTTATTTTTCAAGTTCATTATAAATGACACTATGTGATGTGGCAAAATGAAAAAGTCATCTGGTAATAAATTCACCTAATTAACATAAACATGCAATAGAGCAGCTACTCAGTCAAATGACAACTGAAAAACCAACCAGTTAAGAAATATTTAACAGTGAAGTTCTCTGTACCCTAAACTATACATGAGTCAAATAAGTCTCACAACACTGTCTACATAAAATAATGTCCAGTAAAAGGGAAACATTCATTCAAAGTCAAATGCAGGTTGCATCAAAATAAACAATCCTGAGTTACTAAATCTAAACTTCCTGAGAGCAGCTAAGATTAATGCTGGTTCTGATATATTTGAGTAATTCTGCAGAAAACAGGAGGAGGGAGAGGAGGTCAATTATCACTATTTTTTCTTTCAGAAATTATGTCTGATGTTTGAACATGGCGACAGTTTTAATATATGAATTTTTGTTGACGTCATCGTTTACATGACCTGCTGTGGCTTTAAGCAGTGTGAGAGTTCACTGCAGGTGGAGGTTTAGCGTTGCCATGTCTGTGAAATATTTCAATATGGAGAGACTCAGACAGAGAAAAGGGAAACCATTAGAGTTTATTGACATACAAAATTAGAATCTTTTGGCACTTGGGCACCGGCTGAGGTCATCAATTATCGCAAACTTTGCGATGGGTTTGGATGAGCATTCTGTATTCTACAAGGAACGTCATCCCCCAAAAAGAGGTCAAAGCCCGGGCCTCGGCCAGAGAGTCGGAGACAGAAAGCACAAAAGGAGATGAGGTGCGCTGGCTTAGCTTGAGAGGTTAGAACCAAACTGAGGGAGGTGACGTGACAGTGCCAGGCTCGAGAGAGCAATCAGATACTGCTAGGACCGATGTCCCCCAAAATAAGGCAGAGGCCGGAGGATAGATGATGGAAAAGTAAAGGGGGAGAGGAGTTGTTCTGACTTAGCCTACAGGATTAGATTCAAACAGAAGGAGATGATGTGACAGTAATGGGACGAGAAGAGAGAGAAGTGAGGGCAAAGGTCAGCAGGGGACAAAGTGAGGAAAAGGGACATAGAATGCAGAGCAGCAACAAACTTTGGGATTAAATGGACTGTACAAGTTAGCAAACAGCAGCTCATTAAAACATTAGGATTCTTTCACCTGGTGCTTAATGTACCTAGGAAACCAAACCATCTACTGGTATTTACTGATTATTTATCGGTACATTGTTTCCTAGTCTGCTGCTAGTAAAAGAGAGACAGACTCTCATCAGCAACTGAATTAATGGAGTTTATTGTCGATTTTAATATTTCTCTCTCCAGTGTCCTTGTTGCCTGTAGTTCAGTTCTTCAAGTCTTGAGTCCCAACTATAGAATAAATCAGTTCAAAATAAAGATATCATAAAGTTTTGAAAAATATGACCTATTCTTCAATAAATCCAAGAAGAATATTGTTGACTGTAAAGTAACACAAACATTTGATGGATTATTAACAGATTTTCCTCCCTGTCTTCTCAGACTGAGTGGCTGTAACCTCTCAGAGAGAAGCTGTGAAGCTCTGTCCTCAGTTCTCAGCTCCCAGTCCTCCAGTCTCAGAGAACTGGACCTGAGTAACAACAACCTGCAGGATTCAGGAGTGAAGCTTCTCTCTGCTGGACTGAAGAGTCCAAACTGCAACCTGGAAACTCTCAGGTAAAATGTTCTCAATCCTGGTGAAACCAGATTTCTGTCCATTACCTGCTATAAGATATTATGTAAATTTTATTTCAGTATCAGATTATAACATCAGTAGATGTCTGACTGTGATGAGGCTAATCATGCTAAGTCTTGACACATAAACTCAGCTGGTTTTCATTTATTCCAGGCTGAAAGAACCAAGAAGAGAGGAATGTAGAAAGATGGATATCAGGCTTTAACTGTTAGTGTAACGCTGGACACTTGACAGATTGTTGCATCATCAGAATACAAAGAAGCATTGTTGCAGATTCTTCCTCCAACCAGTTGTTAGACTTTATCATCCATTTTACAAATGACAAATTTAGATTTTTATTACCTACAGAATTCAGTAAAGTTTTACCATTTCATGATATTAATATTATAGTTTAATATAATTTTTTGTGTGTTTTCCTCTTGTGAAAATATCCAGTTCAGACCTTGGTTTCTACCTCCATGTTGTCATTTTCTCATCATGTGATGAATTGTGTGTCTGCAGCTTATCAGGCTGTTTGGTCTCAGAGGAAGGCTGTGCTTCTCTGGCCTCAGCTCTGACCTCCAACCCCTCCCATCTGAAAGAGTTGGACCTGAGCTACAATCATCCAGGAGACTCAGGAGTGAAGCTGCTGTCGGCTGGACTGAAGGATCCACACTGGAGACTGGAAGCTCTCAGGTATGGAGGAACCTGCTGCAGGAGCAGAGAAGGTCTGATAGAGGAGGAAGAGGGAGAAATGTCTTTAGTCAGTCTGATGGGAAACATTTAGGTTGAAGATTAAAATTTATTATGCTAATTCAGTATTTGGCTTGTATTTATTACAGTTAAATTATAAATATTGCTAATAATTTTGACTATGTAAGTTTGCAAACTACATACAATTAAAAACTATAAGAATCTTCCACATGTTTCTGAATAAACCTGGGAAACCAACCCATCTACTGTAACCACAATAACATGGTATTCAGAGCAGCAGGGGGCCAAATATAGCTCCATGTGGAACCAAGAGGCTGGAGAGAGAAAATCAGTTGAAACTGTTTCCTATCAGAGTTCAGTTTGTCTCTCTGTCTTCACAAACCAGGAGCATCATGGGCTGGGCGGGGCTTCCACTGATGGATCTACTGAGGAAATACAAGAAGCTGATTGGCTGATGGACAGGAAGTTAAAATATGAAGATTAATAACATCATAAATCAGATACTATTGGTGTTGTGTATAGATGTAGTGCTGGATCACATGGTGTTATTAGTGATTATAGATCAGCTGTTGCTCACCTGGTGACTTTAGTCAGTGATGATGGAGGAGGTTTAGTTTTTACTGATCACTTTAAGCTTCAATGTTTTTATCTCTGATCTTTGTTTAAACCTGTTAATCTGGTTTTAATGCTTTTGGACACAAATATCTGTTTTCCACTGATGTTCTGGATCTTTGATGATATTGAGGAAAATAAAATCATCTTAACTGCAGATTGGATTTAAGTTTTGATCAGAGATTTTGTTTGACAGTCGCTAATAATTAGTAATAAAGAGACATGGCTGAGAGCAAATATAGATTTTAGAATCAGTTTAAATGTTTCAGTGACAGGAAGAAGAAACAAGAAACATAAATAGAGGAACTGATCAAGAAAGATATAATTATTATTAGTAACATGTAGTAACTTTAATGCATATGGAATATAATGGGATGGAAACAGAAAACTGAAAGTAACTGAAAGAGCAGAAGAACATTTAGAGATACGAACTGATGATGTTTGAATGATGGAAAGAGACAAAGATGTTGAAGGAAACAGATCAGTTCTTGATTTAACACTCGTGTTTAGGAAGATTTCAGCTGATTGTGGAAAATTCTTCTGACTAAGAACGTGAGGAGCCTGGAGCTAAATAGGAACTGGAAATAATAATGAATTTATTCTGATTCAACTTCTTCAAACTGTCACATCACTCATTCAGGAGTCTAAGGAGTTCAGCTGTTAGATTCCTATGATGATTTACTGAGGATAGAAACATTAAAACCATGTTGGATGGAGCTTCAGACCAATCAGCCCCCAGAAGCAAAGAGGAGAAGAAAAGCAGCTCCATGGTGATCAGATGGATGTTTAAAGATCTCAGAGTGAAATAAATAAATTCAGATTTAAAGCAAACCTCTCAACTTTAATGAATTTGTGTTTTAAAATATAAAACACATGAAAAATGAAGAAAACTATTCATAAGTCAAAGAGATTTAGAAGTTTAGTAGATCCATCTATGTGGCAGTTTATCTCCACCAGGGGGCGACATCTGAAAAATGATCAAAAGTATGAATGAAATCAGGGAATAAAATAAATCCCTTGTTTTCCAGAAGGAAGGAAGAATTGAAGTGAATGATGGAAAAAGTAGAAAATGTAAAAATGAGAGCAGAAACTGGTTCAGATCCAAAGTTCTGATAAATTTACTAGGAAAGATAAAAAGACAAGATCAGCTCATCCAGAACTTCTGCAGTGGAGGGAGGATTACTTTCACAAGCCATTACTGCAGCTGCTGGGTTCAGGATGCTGCTTCTTCTTCTTGGGCTCATTGTAAATGTGTGCAGCGCCACCTGGTGGTGCTGGTTGGTAGAGGAAGTGCTGAAAGAGACTGATGGTCTGACCCCCCTCCTCCTTTCAGGGTGGAGCCTGCTGGAGGCCGATTCTTGACTCCAGGTCTGAGGAAATGTAAGTGTTTTTCATCTGATTCATGACAACAAAGCAGCTCACATTCAACCATCTTCAAACTGTCACATCACTCATTCAGGAGTCAAAGTGTCAATAAATGATCAATAACTGCAGCTGGATTGTGTTTGTTCTCTCCATCAGATTCCTGTCAACTCACCATCGACACAAACACAGTGAGCAGAAAACTCAAACTGTCTGAAGACAACAGGAAGGTGACACGAGTGGAGGAGCTTCAGTCATATCCTGATCATCCAGACAGATTTGATTACTGGTATCAGCTGCTGTGTAGAACTGGTCTGACTGGTCGCTGTTACTGGGAGGTCGAATGGAGAGGAAGAGTTGATATATCAGTGAGTTACAGAAGAATCAGGAGGAAAGGGGACAGTAGAGACTGTTTGTTTATGGAATGAAAATTCCTGGAGTCTGAGATGCTCTGATGATGGTTTCTCTGTCAGGCACAATAACATAGGAACTGGTCTCTCCTCCTCCTCTGACTCTAACAGAGTAGCAGTGTATGTGGACTGTCCTGCTGGCATTCTGTCCTTCTACAGAGTCTCCTCTGACTCACTGATCCTCCTCCACACCTTCAACACCACATTCACTGAACCTCTGATTCCTGGATTTGGAGTCTGGTCCAGTTCTGGTTCCTCTTCAGTGTTTCTGAGCTGATTTGAGTCTAAAGAGTCTAAAGATTTTCATCCTGCTAGAAAATCTCACTGATTAAAAGATAGTTCAGTCTCTATTTGTCTGTTTCATTCAGAAATATATTTTCATGGATCCAATCTGTGTCTTGGTTAAACTTTTCTACACAACCCGGGGATTATTCCAGGATTATTCCAGGAATATTCCAGGATTATTCCAGGATTATAACTGGATCAGCATGTTTTCATTTTCCAGTCAAAAATTCACAATGAATCTCAGGATGTTTTTTTCTCTGATTTTTTCCTTTCATTTATCATCAGATTCTTTGAATTTACTGCAGTTTTTCTCAATTACTGGATATTTTTTGTTTCTGTTATCTCCTGTATTATTAAATTCATCTTGGATTCAGATGTTATTTTTTGTATATTTACTACAGTTCTATTTCATGTGTTTTATTGAACAATAAACACATTTTATTCATTTGCTGCTCATCCTGTTCTGTTCCTGTTTAAATGTCAGTAGATTATTTTTCAATTTTAACTCTGACTTGTAATTTACATTTAAACATTCCCATATTGAAACATTTTAAAATAAATTTTTATTTATTTTTTTTCTTTCTTTCTTAAAAATGTTTTCTATGTTTCATAAGTTTCAATATAATCTCAACAATTTCCCCCTTTTTGAAGTATTTTCTATATGGAAATACATCAATCAAAGTCCACTACTGCAAATAAAAATTCCGATGAACAGATTCATCATTGTACCTTATAACAAATCCTTAGTATTCAATGCTAAGTTTTCTTTCTCCATTTCACTGTTCCAGGTATCTTTTATGCATGATAGTTTATTTTTCTACATCCAACACCTTTAGTTTCGCTACTATTGTTACTGTCTTTATATTTGATCAATTAACCGAGTGTCTTCAAAGAATTGCTACCTATCATAACGTTTTGTCAAATTTCACAAGGTAGAACATTTCCTTTTATCCCCCAAAAGATGTTTCTAGTCAGTTCTTCTCCAAAATACTGTTCTCACTTTTAATGAAAATTAGCCTTTCCAAAATTAAATCAAAATCCCAAATTGTCCAATTTCCAAAAATGTGTCAATTTAACGTCCATTAATCAATTAATCCTGGATTTAAAATTTCTAAGCCTCAGTCAGAAACCAGGTTACTTTATCCACACGTTCTTTTCTTTTAAATCAAAGTAATTAGTTACTTTATTTTCTAATATCAAATGATTAATATGATCACTTTCTCAACTTCTGTGTACAATTTGTTTGCTATTTTCATTTTATTTTCTGATTTTATTCTAATCACACAAAGTCATACTATGTAATCACAAACAAACAATAACACAACAAACAAAACATAAAACATTTAGTCTCGTCGTGGTCAGTCACAGTCAGTCTATTATCTACATTTTTCTTTCACTCAAATTTGTTAAAAATTTATTGAAGCTTCAAATATTTTCCAAATGTTTTAGCTTTTTTTTAAAATGTTTTCCTGTTTGTAATTTAGTCTTCAATATTGTAATTACCATGTGCACATTCTAAAAAGATCACTAACTTTATTAGGGCCTTATAACAATTAGTAATTTCCTGCTGTTGAAACATGTTGTCAGTTTCAAAAAAATATAGATTCATTTCCTTTATTTTAGAATGATCTATTCCATTTTAGATGCATCAAAATACTTAAATACCACTGTCTCTATAATTTTCAACAATTTAAGTTCTCAACAAATTCCTTCATTGAGGAAATTCCTTAAATTTCAACTTACTTCCATAACTAATAGTTTAAAGACCTCTTAATTTCTTTATTTTATTTTCAGGATTGTTCGAATAAATTTGTTGTTGTTAATGTTTATCTTTATTAGTTTTGTTTACTATTTTGTTAAAGATCACTGCCTTTTCTTAAAAGAAAACTCTCACAACAAACATATCATTTATCTTTTAGGAAGATTTAAACCTTCAAGATGACTCTATTTTTTCCCAAAACACTTCACATTATAGTTTAATGTTCATCACATCATCTTACTCATTAATAATTTTTTAATTCGCAGAATTTTATGATGTTTTAACTCCCTTGCAAAACATAAATGGTTATAGATTCACTTCTCAACTTTCTTGATTTTTTGTTCTCAATATTCAGGGATCACTAGAACAACTTTTCAGAATTTCTCCATTGTAGAATCATTAAAAACATCTATTAATGTGTTCTTTGTTTATTTGATAATTCTTATATGAACAGATTAGCAAGCAAACAGTCTTGGCTGTGATCACAAATGTGGATAAAATATATTACCCTTAATATATTTTATATTAATTAATATATTATTATTTTATATTAATTTATATTAATATATTTTATATACTTTTCCTTGTTTTTATATAGTTCTTAGGTTCCTTTTAGTTATCAGCTTTATTGCTGCATTTGTCTTTTCTCACCAACTTACAACCTCCCCACAGGAGATTCATAACCAGCATTCCTAAGTTATTCTGATTTTATCACTTGAACTAATAAAACAGCCTTTTTCTCATCAAAGCATAAATTGAGACATTAAATTAGATAATGTCCTCTCAAAAGATCACAGTACCAAATTAGTATTTTCTTTACAGTTGTACATTAATATAAAAGTATATTTATTTTTACAAACTGTCCTAAAGAATTTTAACTAATGTTTGACAAGGTATGTTTACCAATTTTTTAGACCCAGCGTTTTGATGTTAAAAATGTACATTTAACATTTCCATATTATTTCATTAATCTCAATTAATTTGCTTGCTTAAACAATCCACTCTAAAAGAAAATGGTTCTTTGAACTTAGATGGGCCATAAAACAATTTTGCACCTCCTTCACAAACTTTCCCTCACCTTGTGAAAGGAAGTATTTCATGGCAGCAGGAGAAATCTGCTGTTTCATTCAGATTTTAGCATTTATATCTCAAATTCATCTTTTAACTTAAATTGTTTGGGGTACTTCTGTTTACATTCTTTAACCTTTTATTATGCACTGATGTTTTGTCATCAGGACTTGTTCTCACCTTTATATGACAGCTTAAGATGTTGAACTGATGTTTAGATCTGCTATTCAAACTATTTTCTTTCTGTTGAACCAGCTGCAAGATCAGGGGAATAAGGCACAGCTACAACTTCTGCCTATTGTAGTTCCTATTGTGCCTATTGCCTGTTGTTCTCCTGAACAGACCTGTTGCTTTGTCCTGCTTACTTTATTTTCAACATTGTCTCCTGTTGATTTTGTATTTTTATGTTTATCCATAACACTGAGATCATAGCATTAACTTTCTGTCAATCATTTGTGTCCCAAATATTTCATCTTTCATCTGCACATTTGGAGTTTTGCTGTTGCTAACTTTGTAGTTTTCTTTAGCTAAATATTTCAAACAAGGCTAAAGTTTTCTTTTATTGGGGTCTATTTATTAAGTTCTAGTTCATAATTATTTTTTTTTTCCTCATCCTGAAATTGTTTTGAAACAGAGTTATCCTAAACTCTAAATACAGCATTTCTCCAGTCTGCAATCAATGCTGAATCAGAGCTGCGTGGGGGTTTATTTGGGCAATCTAATGAATAATCACAGAACAGTTGTCCTGCTCTTTTGAGGACATCTGTTTTCTCCTGACTTTTCTATTTAGTTTCATTTTTGTTTATTATATACCTAATTTATAATCACTTGTAATCATGTCACTACATTTTTATATCTTCAATTTTTTCAAATACTGTTTTTCCCATTAATCAATTTTATTTCAAACTTTAATACCCTTCTGACATCAAATCCTGTAAATTTTAGCAAACTTTCCTGTATTTAATCAATTTCTATTTATCCAGAGAGTTACCTCTAGTTTATCCTGTACTTTAATTATCAATAAGTTCTGTAGATCTAATAATATTGATCCATTTTAATAGAGTTTTGTTCATTGTTAAAAGAATGTTATTTGTTAAGGGCTTCTCGCTCTAAAGTTCTGCTCTTTTTTTTATAATCAATTCATAAAATGTCCCTATTGTAATTTTTGTTTTTTATTTTATTCCTCCTTTTGACCTCATACAAAGTCCATCATGATGTTTCTCCTCATATTCTGGAGGTGAGGGCAACTCAGGGTATAATCTAGCACTCTGTTCAACATTCTTTTTAGATTTTTTCTCTCCAATCTCTCGTTTTCGTGCTACTTCTAACCAAAATTTTACATCACACCCTTCTTTGTATATATTTTTTTTAATTTGAATTTTTTTTTGTTTTATTTTATCTTGCAGTAGAATTAATTTCTGTATGTTCAGACTGCCATCAAAATGATACTTTGTTATCCATTTATCTAAGTGTTTTATTTTACACGGATCCTGATCTTTAATGAACTTCCAGTCGTTTGATTTGAGACTGTCTATTGGATTAGTTTTACTGATCTCTTTCCCCATTTTTTAAAATTTTTTAAATAAAATTTAGACCAGTTTCAGACTGATCCTTTGGACCTAGTCTGGCGAGGAGTAGCTGTATATTTTGGAGGTGCTCTTTTGATAGGTTGCAAAGGCACAGAGGGTGTTGCTGCTGCTGCTGCTTCCTCTGGCTCTTGCATATCTCCTGCTTGCTCAATTAATCCCTGATAGGGTCCTGGCATAAATTCATCATCTTCCCTTCTATAGAACAGCACTTTCTTTCTTTCTCTTCATCTCTTTCCTTCTCTGCCTTGTTCTTTCTTTTTCTGCTCTTTTGCTCTTTTTTCCCCTTCTTCTCTCTTATTTGCCATTTTCATCCACACTCCTGTTTGTTCATAACCTTCTTTATCCATCAGTTTTTATTTGTCCTTACATTTTTCTCTTATTTTCCTTCTCAATTCTGCAATGTTTGCAGTGCTTACAGTGATACTTAAATTTCCTTTCACTCTCACATACACACTCTGTTTTTTGTCACAGAATTGAAGCGCCTATTTCGCTGGACTCCGCCGTCCATTTAAACACGGGTATTAGTCGGGCCCCGTTCCCACAACAGGTGGGGTTTGTAAGATCTCAAACCACGTGAGGTTGCAAAATACCGAAGCAGGTGAAGTTTGTCAGTCTTTGTCCCAGTAGGGCTTTACAAGACCTCCAGGTAGGTAAGGTTTACAAAGCATCATTTTCTAGTTTTTTTATAATTATTTTTTTTCTTCTGTTATTTTTTATTTTTATCACTCTTTTATTTCTTCACTCTTTTATTTCTTCAAGCAGGGAACTCCGTCATCCCACGGACTTTAATTACTTCTATGAGTAAAGGACTCTGCCGTCCTC